CACCCGAAGAATTTGTTGCCACTGAATCTCATCAAGCTGATGATAGGTCTAAAAGGCCATGCCTTCTGGGACCTTATGCCAGAGGTCTCCTAGCTTCTTCATTAGGGGTTGTAGGGTTTGTCGCTGATGTGGTTGTCTTGTTTTTTTGTTGTGCCATTTACATATCCTCATAGAATGTTTTTATATGGCGTTAGTGGAAATGGCAGATCCGGAGTTAATAGCGAGCTAACAATGGGTGCAAGAGGAAATGGCATGGCCCATGCCCCCTCGTCAAGTAAGCTGCTTCTGATCTCTTTGTCCTAGGAGGATATAACCCATGCAGTAAAACTTTTTAGCATTTGGATATTTAAAAGTTTTCAGAATGGTCTATGAAAGACATTTTACTAGCTAGAACTCATATTTTAAAATATTCATATATCATTGCTAGCTTGTATAATGATAAAAGAAGACACATCTTGCATAAAGTGAAAATAAATTTAAAACAACGAAATTTAAAAGAAGCTTTTGTGTAATTGATTTGATTTTTTTCTTAACTTTCTTTGTCCCTTGATCTCTTGTATGCGGACTGTACTTGTAATCTGTTGTTTTTGATAAAATTTCAGTAGGGGGTACAACCCCTCCTGTTCCATTAAAAACAATGAAATGGGTATATTTTTTCATCATGATTTCCACCACAAATTGTTGGTTTGGCAGGAAGTTTGGCTATACCATTATACCATTATAAGACTGGCTACCACTTCGCTCACTGAAGTTGTATAGTGTCGGTGTGAAAAGTGACCAACACGTAAATATTTGTAGTTTCAAAATCAGTGCACTTACAACAATATTTTGGGATCCTAAACAGTTTCAATTAAAAAACTTTTCATCTACAAATTTGTAGATCTCATCGAGAGCTACAATTGTAATATAAAGTTTGTATTCATACGAGTCAATATGAAAAGTTATGAATTATATTTTGTTGCAATTATTAACTGAGGCGAACATCTTAAGACGTCCCGCCTCCATAAAAACCATCAGCCGAACAGGGCCATAGCGGAGGTTCTCTACATACTAAACGGCGACAAAGAGATGCCAGCAACCCAAAAAATAAACGCTCAATATATAGACTCAAGGTCAGGAGAGGCATGATGAGATGAGACCCCAGATGAATGTAGATGATGGCTTGTCTTTTTCCGACAACGGTTTGGACTCTCTGGGCATTTGGTTATATAGTATAAGGAAGTACTATATCCATTTAGTTTAAACTATGAGATATGCTCTCTGTTTCCAGTTCTGGAAGAACCACTCTGAAACCCGGAAAAACAGTACCTGCAATTTTTTCAGCTTGATTCCTTCTCTAGTCCACTTCAAATTTGTCTTGTGCGTTATATAGAAGATTTGCACATGATCAGCAGCAACCTGGTTGATATGAATATATCGTATATCGTGCATGAGCAAGGCCGCCAATGGGCCTGCAGTTCTTGCCATTGGGGCCAATGATGTTGCCCACGGGCCAGCCAATACATTTTTTTGAACTGTCACCGGGGGAGAGGATCCCCACCTGAATAGTATTGATTTATCATCAACAGCATCGTTTTGAAGTAACGAGGCAAAAACCCTGTCATCCGGTTAATTTTGAAAAACCGGACTAAAACTAATGCAGTAGCCCCAGCACAAGGGCTAGATTGTGGCATACCCACTAAAAGAAAAACAACAACACGCCCCGGCACAAGGGCAAATGGTGGCACAACCACAAATACACCAAAAAGAGAAGAAACTACAAGACCAAGACATAAGAACTCTTCAACAATGCCTCCAGGGAGGTGAATGACGCCGCAACGTAATCATTGTCTGCCAAACAGCAAGAGGTGACTCCGCAAGAGCTTGGCAAGGCTTTCGCCCGAGCCTTGTGCCGAGGGATTGAGCAGGCCGATCCAGGAGAAGAGGTACCAAGAGGTTCTTCGGTGACGCCTTCTTCAAGGAGAACCTCGTCACTAGTCCAGACTAATCTGAGCTGAGCTTTCACCCAGAACCTTTGCCAGTGCTCCCCTTGACACCCCGCATCGGAGGGGTGCACGCATCGGCATTTCTCCGTGCCTGGACGGACGGATGCCGGTCGCCGCCACACCACGTAGAGCCGTTCCCGAACTCGCCCGCGATGGTGGGAGGCGCGCACCGTCAAACGTCAACGCTTGGACGGAGGGGGGTACCGGTCGCCGCACCACCGCGCGGAGCAGTTCCCAGACTCGCCCGTGGCGGTGGGAGGCGTGCACCGGCTATCATCCTTGCCTGGACGGAGGGGGGCTTGCCGGCCGCCACCACACCGCGTGGAGCCGTTCCCGGACTCGCCCACAACGGTGGGAGGCGCACACCGGCAAGCGGTCATGCCGGAGAAGGGTGGGGGGTTACCGGCCGCCGCCACACCGCGCAGAGCCATTCCCCGGACTCGGCCGCGACGGTGGGCGGCGAGCACGGGCAGGCGTCCATGCCTGAGCGGATGGGGTTTTGGTCGCCGCCACACCGCGGAGCCGTTCTCGGACTTCGCTTTGCAATGGTGGGGCGGCGCAGACCGCAAGCGTCCACGCCGGACGGGAGTGGGTGTGGTGGAGACTTATTGACGCGACCGCGCGGGTCGTAAGTCGCCACGTTAGGCGAGTGGTGCCAGCCGCCGCCACGCTGGGGGCGGTGGACCGAGACGGGGTAGAGGAGCCGACCGCCGCCGCCACGAGGACGGCGAACCGGGTCGAGGCGTTGGGGTCTCGGGTGACACGGATCCACCCCGCTGGCCGTCCAGCGCCGGGGCGTCGCCACGTCGTAGGGCGGGCGCCGTTCTAGGTGGGCGTACTCCGCCCGCCGCCCACACCGCGCGCAGCCGTGGGCTGGCAGACTGAGGGCAGCCGGCTGCCACCGCACCGTGTAGATCCGGGGCGGGGTGCCCGGATCCACCCAGCAGTCGGCCGATAGTTGCGAGATGAAGGGAGAGCGCAGCCGCACCCTGCAGATTGGCCGGCAGTGGAGACGAGGGGATAGCGCCGCGCCGCACCCTGCAGATTGTCGCGGCTGTATTCCACCTCCGTGTCTCATCTCGTTTCGTCTTGTCGCCGCGGCTGCTCTCGAATCGACCTCCAAGCTAATTAATCTGTGGCGCGCTGTGGTAGGCCATGACCATGACGCAGCTGAGCTTTGGATCACTTCTCCACAAGGTTCAAGAAAAGAAAAAAAAAGGTGCAAATTTCATTCAGCAACCTCCTTGTCTAGAGGTTTAAGACATATCAGAGACAATACCCTTCTTAAATAAAAAAAATGATTTGTTTCGGACCACTACGACAGCACATTAACAATACCAGGGCTGCTGGCTCCATGGCTGGATTCTCTTGTTCCATGGCTGGAATCCCAGTGGGCAAATAATGCGTCGTGGAAACCAGGCAGCGGCAATACGAGAAGGCACCATGAGGCAATGCAAGCAATTCATAAAGCCTCCTCAAACTTTCGCACAACATAAATACGTTCCAAGCTTGTTAGAATGTACGAACCACAGAAAGGTCGAGAAACTAATAATACAAGCCAGGAGTTCAGCAAGAAGAAAAATTTTGCAGGTTCTAATAGACTGCAGAGTACACTGAAACTTTGCTACAGCATATTAGAATAGAAAATGGCTCGGTTGAACATAAGAGCCGACACAGTCGAGTGAACTTGTGGTGATGGCCTGATGTAGTCTGGCACGCATTGAAGCCAACACCATTTGGGCTGCACCACGGTTCAACCAGAAACATGGATCAGAAACACTAATCTGCGAGAGGAAGAAAGTTGGTCAATAATTCTACTGAATCTTCTTCTGATATTATGCTTACAACCATAAATTATTCGATGACCAAAGTGCTTGTTTCCTAGTGATTAATCATACAAGGTGACAGATTATAAACAAGTGACCTATGTACAAATCAAACGACGGAACCAACCATCGAGGCAGCACAGTACATATCAAGATAGGAAAGTGGAAAACCGAGTAGCGACTGGTGGCTACAAACAGAGTTAGTGCAACCACTAGAAACGGTTCAGTGACTATACCTACGTCCGATGTATAATGGATTCACCGAAAATCAGTATATGCTAAAATACGTTTGGTAGTTTCATCATTGCTAAAAATAAAATACTACTCGCCCTCGCGAAGCAAAAATGTAATTCATACATCAGCTTAGATGTCCGCATGCATGTATTTGCATATTGGGAATGCGACGGTGCTGCAGCAGCAATGTCGCTTTTAGACCATTCTATGTAGTCAGGACTCAGAAATCATAATGTTATTTGTTTGCCGGGAATTAGGCCCCGTTTACATCCAAAAATTTTTAGATTTTGGCCACTGTAGCACTTTCGTTTTTATTTAGCAATTAGTGTCTAATTATGAACTAATTAGGTTCGAAAGGTTCGTCTCGCGATTTCTCACTCAACTGTGCAATTAGTTTTTTTTTTCGTCTATATTTAGTACTCCATGCATGTGCCGCAAGATTCGATGTGACATGTACTATGCAAAATTTTTTGGCTTTTGGGTGACATCTAAACGGGCCCTTAGGCTAACAGATTTTCAAAATTTGTGAAGTCGGAAAAACTCAGACGCACTCGAATGGCTGACACGCACGAGGAGCAACAGTGACACCATCAGCTAGGATAGGACAGAACAGGGTGGAGAGAGTACTTACATACACTGTACGCATACAGAACCAAATTCCCGAAGACACATTATTATTGTCTTCCCGCTGAAAATTCAGATTAAGCTAATAATTAATTGAATAGAGACAAGCAAGTGATGTACATGTATGCCAAAAAGGAGACAGAATTGTAACTAGACAGAAACAAATAAAGAGGGAGATATTAACTTGATGGTAAGTACAAAATTCTCAGCGTACCTGATTAATAATATTTATGCATACCACACTTGGGATGGTTGGGATGGATGTTGCATGCGTTTCTCAGCGTAGCCAATGCAGCTTCCCCCTCTACAGCAGACACGCCACTGCAAGCGATCAGCCCTCTGAGTACCTGAAGGAAGGCAGGTACTCCAAGCCAATATTCCCACAGTCACTATTGTTATCTTTTAGGGCCCGCAAAGGGACATAAAATCTAAGCCCTTCAAGATTTGGCATCACACCAGAGGGTACAACTTTTCTGGAGTCATTGCTTTTTCCAGGGGCAAAGGGCATAGCATCTTCTCCATTCCACATGTGCAATGAAATGCTAGCGTCCTCCGTGTTGGGCTGCTCAAACTGGACCATTAGATTGGTCCACAATTTCCTCAACTTCTGGAAGAAGCAGCCATCACCAGCGTTAATATTACTTGCTGTTACTGTGGACTTTGTTTCCAGGCTAAGAAAACAGAGTGCTGGCAACCTAGCAAGGAGTTTCAGATCCTGCTCATCCATAGTAGTCACCCACAGTCTCAAGTGGGACAAGTTGCGAAGACGTAAGGGATTAATGCATGACGGCAATTTAGAAAATTCAATATTATACAAATACAAATATTGGAGAGGTCGTGGGAGCAGAAAGCCTGCTGCTTCCCACATGGCTGTATCCACGCTCCAACCTAAACCATCCAAGTGTATATGCTGGAGCTTTTGCAGATTGCTTAGAGACTCCATAAAATCTCTCTGCATGCTCTCTTCCATCCCTTTAGTGCCGAAGAACATGAGCACCCTGAGTTCTCGCGGGGTGCCTAGCTCCTTCAAAAACTTTTTGGGCTTATCACAATCATTGAATATTATCAGCTCCTCTAGGGAAACTAGCTTCCCAATCCTATCAGTCACCTTGCTGTAAGCACGTAGTCGGACCAGCTCTGTTAGGTGCACAATGCTTGCTGGCAACGTTCCGTCCACATCTAGTGTTTGCAGTAACTTTAGATTCCCTATTTGTTTTGGGAGCTCTAGGGCATGACCTCGGCACCGTATTCCAAGATACCTCAAGTGAAGTAAATCACCAAGATGCTCAAGGTGACAACCTTCCTTAAAGTTGCAACCCACTATATCCAGCACGCACAAAAGTTTAAATCTCAAAAATTGTTCCCAGCTATCAATAGAACACATGAATGCAGTATACGACCTCACTTTTGGCATCCTAGTAACCATGGCTTCAGAATTAATGTGCTCGGCTATTCCATTTTGGTGGGTTAACCGACGGACATTGCTTAGTGTAGGTGTTCCTTTAACATTGTCACCTAATATAGCCATAAAATTTTCTTCAGATGAAAGCTTACGCATCAGATCAAGAACCATATCATGAACACGACAGCCTGATACTTTTCCATCCAAGTCGTTCTCCACCACCTGGATCAAGCTTCTATTAATGAGATCGTTGAAGTATCTTTCTCCAAGCTCAAATAATCTTGTACCTTGTTTCCCATCGATAAATCCTTCAGCTACCCACTTCCATATCAAAGAATCCTTTCTGATCACATAGTCTTCTGGATATGTACTTAGATATAGTAAGCATGTCCTCAAATGTGGAGGCAGATCGTAGTAGCTAAATGAAAGTATTGTCATAGTCTCTTCAGCTTCCATATTGCCTTTGGATCCAAAACCAATAGAGTTCAACACCTCAGACCATTCATACTTTTGTTTACCGGCCAACAAACTAGCCATTGTCATGATTGCTAATGGTATACCACCACATTTCTTTACAATTTTATTGATGACATCTTCTGGTTCCTTATCATGGTACTTCCCCCTCTGAACCAAATATCCTTGTATAGAGTAACTTCATGGAGTCATCATCAGAAAGAGGTTTTAGCTTGTAAACGTCACCAGCTTCATTGGCAACATCAAACTTACGAGTAGTTGTGATTACTTTACTTCCACAATTATTCTCAACAAGTGACAGTTTGATTGCTTCCCAAGTGGGCACATCCCATACATCATCAATAACAATAAAATACCTATCCACATGAAAGTGCAAGAACCATTGGTTAGTAATGTTTGGAGCTTCTGCAGAAGCAAGATATTTACTAAGATTAAAAACCATCAAACACATGATCACGCTAGTAAAAACAAAACTATTTGTTGATGTTTCAGAATCTTAATTTCGGGCTAACAATCGGCACTGTTGGAAATCATAGAAGAGGCAATTCAAAAAATTAACCCTACAACTTTTGGAATACTTATGGAAACAAAACACCAATTCAAAGGGGTTTTTTGAAAAATCTACATATTTAAGGCCACATTATTATAAAGAACATACGTACCTGAGGGCATGTTGCAACACAAGCTGACCGCCTAACCCTAAAACTGTGTTTTTTCCCTCAAGTTTATAGTTTCAGAAAGAAAATATTCTGAAAATCTAAGGACAATTAATAAATACATTATAGTGTGTTGCCTTTTTATACAGGGAGCGAAGTACATCTTTCGGCATTCGAAAAGACGAGCTAAAAGCAGTTACGTTAGAGACAACTGAATAAATAGATTTCATCTTATATGTGTGGAGTGGAGAAAATGAATCTCAAGAAGCAATCTGGCATAGATGATATATGTGGAGATAATATATTTTACTATAAGCTACAGCATAGTGAAAACTAGTAGTATCGACTAACTTTGAGCAAGAACATCTTAAAAGGCACTCCGTAATTACAATTTACAATTGGGTTGCTGATGTGTACCTCTTGTTCTCCAGGAATTCTTGTACTTCACGAATTAGGAGTGCCACACCTCTTCTAGTGTCATGAATGTTGTCATACTTTATCTTGTCAAGATCAAAGAGGATGTCCTTGAAAACTTTTACCAAGTCATGATCCCGTCCAACTGAAACGAAAGCTGCACAGTCATACTGCGATTTTAGGTTGTCATACGCCGCTTTGGCAAGAGTGGTTTTGCCCAGTCCCCCAACTCCTACAATAGAAACCTTCTTGGTGATCTTCTTGTCAGGCGCAACATCATCTGGTTGGGATGGATTCAGCTTGGATATGAGCTCGTCCCTTGACTTGTCGACACCAATAAGCCGTGTCACTTCTTTGCACATAGCTTTCATGCAGGGATCAAGAGTTGACGATGTTGCGAGCGGCCTGCACACATTGTCGTCAAGTTTGTAATCCTGACGCCTTTTAGCTAGCTCCTCAAGATTCTTCTTGATGTCTTCGATGGCACCAGCAATACCACGGCGAGCCTTGGCCTTGCTGAACACCTTGCCCATCTTCTTCATAGCGCGTTTGAGCCTGCTCGGGTCAGTAGGCTCACCACCTTCGACGCGCACGAGGAAGGTGTCGAGGACATCCTCCATATCATAGGATGCCTCCCTGACCTCACGTGCCCACACCTTGACTTGCCCGTTGAGCCGATCCCATGGCACCTCCGCGACATCGCCGAGGAAGGCATAGATGCTCTCCAGCTCGCTGTGGAGCCACTGCACCTGCTTCCTCACGCCCTTCTGGAGCTTGTACTCGTCATGGAGCAGCTGAAGAAGTTTGGGGGCGAGGCTTCCCAGCGCCCCCGTCACCACACTCATGCTTCTTGATCTCTTGGTTGGTTCAGATCTTTGCGTAGCGATTTCGTAGTCCTACTGTGGTGGTGGCAAGGCTCAAGTTGGAGGCATGCTTGCTGGTGGCTGGGCGTAGAGAGCTCACACCTTCGCCAATCCACTATCTAGACCAACCTTTGCTCACACTACCGAGTTAAAACTCATTGGCATCTGAGAGGCTGATACTGCAGGTGTCTTTAGAGATGGCACTGATGAGTGATGAGCACAACATGTGCTGCTCCGCCGTGAGTGGGGCCGACGACTTGACTTGCTGGCCTGCGCGGACTTGACTTGTCATGTTCGCCAGGACGTTGGGCAGCTCAAACATTGATGAGGAGAGATTAAGTGGCCTGCGGTGAGGACGGCCTGGACGTGTCGAAGAACTCCACCTGCTGCCGCAGGACGGCCTCCATGTACAGCCCGTCCTCCTTCTCTAGGAACGCCAGGTGCTCGGGACGCCGGATCAGCTTCGGGGTGAAGATCATCACGCCCGACCGCGACCGGTACCGCCCGCGGATGCAGTTGAGCGCCAGCCGGAACAGCACCAGCCCGGAGGTGCCGGCGCCGGCGCGCTGGCGTTGTTGGCCGTCGCAGGGGAGATGCTGCGGTTCTTGGGGCTGCCGGCCGGGCTGCTCTTCTCCGCGAGGACGTACCGGTGCGGCACCGTGGTCCGGCGGTGGTGCACGTGAGGTCGCAGCCGCAGCCGCCATCGTCCTGAGGCCGCGCTCTGTATTCATGCAATACTACCGCAAAAATACACGAAAACATCAATTTTTGTTCCCTCTTGACTCCGAATCCGTTTAGTTTTGGCATAAGAGATAGTAACAAATGTTATAGAGCTACGTGAGATCTCCTACTTTGCTTAAAGTGCCAAAATCTAATTCAACCTGGTTGGACAGATACAAGCTTCCAAAATGGGGTGGCGCGGCGCCGTCACCGGCTTCTGCTCGCGCGCCCGCGGGGCTGCGGCTGGCCTGCATGGCGACGGCATCATGCCACGTGAGCACGAGAAGCCAATGTGGAGAGGTATAGACCTAGATGATACGACGTACAAAGTTTATGGACCCAAAAAGCCACTTTAAAAGTTAATCAAACTAACCGAAACCTTCTCACAAGTTAATATACCTGTGGTGCATTTAACTCATTTTTTATATCAAACAAGCATCATTAGCTTAATCATGTCACCCAATTCTCATCCGTTAACAGATTGCTCTAGCCTGGGTCGCGCCGGCGCCTGACTCATGGCCGGAGGGAGCGTGCCCGCGTCCCGCGCCAGCATGTGTAGTGGCCGCGGCCGGATCTGTGGCTCCAGGGACGTTGGCGGCCGACTAATATGGTGATAGGATACTGTGACTAAAATTTTGAAGATGTGTCAGGAGCATATTGCATAGGGTATTCGGATAATAATAAAAAAAACAAATTACATAATCCGTCAGTACTCCACGAGACGATTTTTTAAGCCTAATTAATTCGTCATTAGCATATGTTTACTGTAGCACCACGTTGTCAAATCATGAACTAATTAGAGCATCTCTAAGAGTTTCCTAAACCTCTTCCTAATCTTAAGTTTTTAGAAAGATTAGAACAAAACATTCTCTAACAACTCCTAATACTTTTTTCTAAAATTTACGCACTACGTAACTTTACGAGGACGCCACTCGCGCGGATACGGCTTCCTCCTCCACACCTGAATCCAGCCGGCGGCGCCACCTCGCATGGAAGCGACGACTATGCTTCTTCTGTTCACTCTCCTCCTCGCCGGGCAACGAGGCTGCACCTGCACGGCCTCTGTTGTTGCCGGTGAAGGCGGGTTCAGCGTGGACTTCATCCACCACGACTCCGCCAGGTCGCCGTTCCGCCTCCCCGCGCTGTCCCCGCATGCCCGCGCTTTCGCGGCGCGCACGCCGCCGCTCCAGGCGAGGTGCTCGGGCGCTCTTACAGCGGCGCGTCTCCCGCAGCAGCGCCCGTGTCGTCGACGGGCAAGGCGTCGAGTCCAAGATCATCACCAGGTCGTTCGAGTACCTGATGTACGTGAACGTCGATGCGCCGCCGACGCAGTTGCTCGCCATGTATATGTGTATATTCAAGTAATGCTCTTGGCGGCTACATTTGCCTACGTCTGTGTTAAAAGCTTTGCGTTCCGTGTGTCACCGTGGATTTGTATGTGAATACTGAGTATTGATGTTTTTTTTCTTTCAAGGGAAAATGTCTACTCTGGTACATCTTTGGTCTGCTGGATCTCAAGCTGCATTTCTTTGGTGCATCTTCGACTGCTTTGGATCTCAAGTGCAAGCTGCCGACGACGTGCGCGAGCTCCTCCTCTCAGGCCGCAACATAATTCATGTGGTCCCAAAATTGATTTTTTTAAATGTCATTTATTAGAAATTTTTGGAGATGATCTTCTTTTTCCTCCCCAAATCTTTTTTTAGAAGTGCTCAAACTATAAGTTTTAGGAGAAAAAAGTAGGAAACTCTTGGAGATGCTTTTAGGCTTAAAAGAATTGTCTCACAAATTAGTGCGCAAACTATGCAATTAGTTTCGTAATTAGTCTATATTTAATACTCCATGCATGTGTCTAAACATTCGATGGGACAGCGACTAAAATTTAGGAGGGGCAACCAAACACCACCTAAGCCCGCGTGCACCTACAACGCCCATGCCTGGGAACGTGGCTAGGCTGTGACGGCCGGATCTGCTGTCGGGGCCCGCTATCGATTCTTCTGAACTTATACCTGTCATTAGTCTCTTAAATTTGTCATCTTCATTTCTATGTCCATGTGGTTATTAAGAGAATTATGTTGTCAGGAGCATGATGTGCATGTACATATGGTGTACTAAGAGTGTTTTGTATGGCAGCTATTAAACTGAAATATGCTGAGAAAAAAATTATTTTTTTCTTTGGAAAAAATAGGTTTGCCGAGTATAATTCCCAAAAACACTTGGCAAACAATAATGGTATGATGAGAAAAAAATTATTATTTTTTCTTTGAAAAAATAGGTTTGCCAAGTGTAATTCCCAAAAACACTCGGCAAACAATAATCCTTTGCCGAGTGTATTTTGGAAAAACACTCAGCAAACCACTTTTTTTGCCGAGTGTCAAATTTGACACTCGGCAAAACATTTACCGAGAGCGCGATAAAAAACACGGCAAATAGCTATTTTTTCGACACTGTAGGTGCCATGTGCTGTTTATCGAGTGTTACACTCGGCAAAGCTTTTGCTGAGTGTTTTTTGGTCTTTACCGAGTGCATGTGGCATACGGTCAAAATCACTGTTTTCGGTAATGCTAGCTCACACTACGAGTTAAAACTCATTGGCATTTGAGAGGCTGATACTGCAGGTGTCTTTAGAGATGGCACCGATGAGTGATGAGCACAACATGTGCTGCTCCGCCGTGAGTGGGGGTCGACGACTTGACTTGCTGGCCTGCGCGGATCTCTGCCTCTGTCTATAGTTTTCCAAACGTGCTGGCACGGCACTACACGGCACTAGCCTGCTCTGGCACGACACGCCTGGGCACGGCTCGCTAGGCACGGCTGATGAACCGTGCCGTGCCGTGTCGTGCCACTGTGCCCGACTCGAGGCCCAGGCACGACACTATCATTCCTGGAGCGTGCCGTATCGTGCCATGCTGACTCCAGGCACTAAACTGGCAAAACCCCTCAATAAACTCAGCACAACAATTCAAAGAGATCTAAAATGACTAAGTTCATAAAAGATCAAAAACAGATCAGAACACGGCACAACAAAAAAACATAAACTTTTAAAACTAAAACTAATTTAAGTAGGAGTTGTGCAATGACTACCTCATTAAAAACCTGTTTAGGTAAAACTCATCCTTGTGAGAAACCCTAAACAGAAAAATAGTACAGCCAGCACCTAGATTAATTGTTCATTACATCCATCACCACAAGTCCAAGTCTCAGTTATTATAGAACCATTACATAAATGGAAAGTGAACTAGTCGACATCAAGATAAAGACCAGCAAAGGCCTCTTCCAGCTCCTTGTCCTCCACCATGTGCTGCAGTCTTGTCTCAGCATTCTCCCAATCCTTGATGTAGGTAAGCGCCTCTACAGTTTCAGGGTTCAGCCTCCGCTGCCGCTCCTCGATGATCCTGCCAGTTAAGCTAAAAGTAGACTCTGAAGAAATGGTTGACACAGGCACTATCAAAATGTCTTTAGTAAGAACAGAAAGTATTGAATAAGTAAGCTTGTGCTCATGCCACCACTGCATGATGTCAAACTCATCATCCAACTAGCTTACTGTGTCACAATCCAGGTAGGATGCAAGTTCACTAGAGTTAGAACTAGCAGTTGCTGCCTGCAGCAAGGAAGTGGCAGAAACACTCCTAGAATGATCAAAACCCAAATATTCTTTAAGTATAGGTTTCAGTTTATTCATAGTATTTTTATTTGCAGATGCATTATCCAAAGTTACAGAAAAAACCTTATTAAGTATACCATACTCAGCAAGGACAGATGCAACATGCTCAGCAATGTTCTTAGCATTATGGGACACATCAATCAACCTTAAACCAAGTACCATTTTCTCTAATTGCCAATCAGCATTAATGAAATGAGCCACAACAGATAAATAATCTTCTTTAGCCTTTCCAGACCATATATTAGAGGTAATAGCAACAGATGAAACAACATTATCCTTTAAACAGACCATCAATTTATCATGTTTCTCATTGTAGTATTTAAACAGATCTCTACTAGTGGTTTGCTTAGAGACAGGTGAAAAATTAGGGTTATGAGCAGTTTTAATATAATCTTTAAATGCCTCAGTTTCAACAATCATAAGAGTTAGGTCCAATCTAGCAAGCATACAAACAAGTTCAACACGAGCTACCTTAGCACTGTACTCCCAACGACGAACAGAACCATCAGAATTAAAAGCAATATGAGTCTAAGTCATGCCCTAGGTCTTCTCAAGTTTCTTAGGACACTTAGCAAGATGTCGAGTAAGATGCCCAGTGCCA